GTGCGTGCGTGCGTGCGTGCATGCGTGCGTGCGTGCGTGCGTGCGTGCGTGCGTGCATGCGTGCGTGCGTGCGTGCGTGCGTGCATGTGACACCCACAAAATTAGTTTACTTGGTGGAAAAAACACCATATTTTTAGTTTCACAGCATTTTACATACAATTTCACCTTTAACTATTACTGAAAATTAAAACTCATCAGGGTTTAAACAGAAATATTTTGGTAATAAACGTCAACCTTCATAATGTTTTAAAATCTGGACAAACAGAACGCGTTGTTACATTTAAAACTGAATCCTCACAGAAACTGAAAATCTAGAAAATGACTTCTAAAATACAACGCCCTCAACAACCTAGCTCCATCTTACTGATCTTATTGTTCCATATTTTCCTAACACAGCACTTTGCTCTCAGACTGCAGGTTTACTTGTGGTTCCTAGTTTCCAAAAGCAGAATGGAGGCAGATCTTTCAGTTATCAGGCTCCTCTCTTGTGGAACTAACTTCCAGTTTCTGTCCATGAGGCTGACATATTGTCCAGTTTTAAGATTTTCCTTTTTGATAAATCCTATAGTTAAGGTTGGCTTGGATTCCCTGAGCTATCCCTTAGTAATGCAGCTATAGGCTTAGACTGCTGGAGGACAAACTGACCTCATTAATCTGCTCAACCTGTTTGTATTTGTAATTATTTCTATCTTAACATGTTTTTTGTCTTTCCTCCTATAGAAAGTACACCTGGACCTGCCCTTCTGAGTTTGTCTCTCCTTCCTGTCCTCTCAAACGCAGCTGGTTGAAGCAGATGGCCGCTTGTCCTGAACCTGGTTCTGCTGGAGGTTTCTTCCTGTTAAAAAGGAGTTTTTCCTTTCCACTGTCTCCTTTGTGTTTGCTCAGGATGGGAGACTGTGATGAAGTGAAGGTTCAACACAATCTGCTGCTTCCTTAGAGAACTTCACTAGGTGGCTTTCTGTATGGACATGAACGTTCCTGTTCAGAGCCCTGAGACCACTTCTGTTGTTAATGGGTGATATATAAATAAACTGAACTGACTTCTTTGTTTTGTGTAACTTCACATTTTATCAAAAGTAAAAAAGACACAACTTTAACTTTTCCTTTTGTTTTGTCCCATTATCCAGTTTTTCCTTCAGGCTGAGCGAGCCTTGAAGATTTTAGGCATCTT